GTGACGGACGGTCCGGTCAATACGTGACGGCTACCTACCGCCATCTTCCCTAAATCGTTCCGGGTCACTTTTCTCAGATGAGCGGAACATCAGAAGCAGGTCCGGTCAATACGTGACGGCTACCTACCGCCATCTTCCCTAAATCGTTCCGGGTCACTTTTCTCAGATGAGCGGAACCAACATCAGAAGCATTGTATCGCCAGAGTTTTAAGCGACACAACAAGGATAAGGAAAGGTTAAGATCTTGTGTACACATTTACTTCTCTCAGTTGCGTTGGTGGCTTATAATCCGTATACTTTCAGAAACTGATAAATTAAAATACTGTTTGTGGTCACTCGAGTTTGGGTTTAGGATATTCGTTGAGTGGAGTGGTTGACAAAACACAACTTTGGAGGGATCGATCATTTTCAGCTAGCAAGTCAGTGTGTTCTGTGTTACATGACCAGTGCTCACATCCCACCCGAAGCAATTTGACCTATTTTCCCGCCTGTCTGATCAGTTCGTAACGCTATCTGGTCTGAAATCGGCCGACCCAGTCATACGCTGGAAGATGTCTCAGTCCAACGTGCACTCTTCACGCGTTACCAACCCACAACACCTTAGTTTGGCAATCCACATGCATGTCAGTTATTCCCGCGTTCGGCGGGGTTCATGAACCTCACCCTCGCCTGCTTTCTCATTATGCGGGATTGCTTGTTCGAATACTGAAGTCGTGTATTAAAACTATCCTAATTTGACGTCTGAATCGAGTCCAACAAGGTGGTAGGTAGTTGATAACCTTGTCCCTAACAAGTTATTCTCAGACTCACTCAGAGCATCTGGATGAAAGAGCTGGTTCACCAGCATGCGACACACCAAAGCGGGGATGAAATCTTGGATAGAACGACATATTTATGGTCTACGTTAAATGGACTGAAGTCTGTAGCCTGTCACATTCAGTTCCATCAGTATCAAATTTGACCACCTAGTGCCATTATGTTCGAGGGCTTTGTTATAGTAACATCGCAAAACTTCATTGTATATCGAAGAACCGACTTATCAATAAGGGTGCTATGTGATAGAGTAAAGCACTTTCAGAACGTTCCGCCCAAACATGAAAGATGATACATCAGCAGTTTCGCACCATGAGCTCCTTTCGGCACATTGTGGCAAGCCACTCCTAACAGCAATAACAATTTCACTCAAGTTGAAAAGGCTGTATATCAATTTGGTTTACACAGGAGATTCAAATGAATCCCATCTGAATCTCTCACTTATAATGTTCCTCTCCAACTTGATATTCTGCGCCAGGCCGTCTCGTGTTTTAGTTGATACAATATTCGAGATGTCGCAATACATTGTATAGACGTGACACGTTACTCATGCAAATTACTCGCGCCATTCCGGTTTCAGTAGAACATGAGAATGACGGAAACTCGGGGGCTGCGTCTGACACATGAGCCCAAAGAAGAACGAAAGCGATCATCGGCTGCCGAAGTTTTCAACAAACTTACGGGCAATATGTTCCGTCAATACAATGGCATTTTAGCTTCCAATTCGTTCAGTTATTCTGCAGCCTATTTAAAACCTGACTGGTGTGGGTATATTAACAGCGATACACAGATAGCCACCTCTGCTAGTTTAACATCACCAGAGCACAGCCTGTTTTCGTCAAACGCTATGAATAAAGTGACAGAAATACTACAGGAGTGATACCACAGTCAAGCTTATTGTACCGCCCGCATGCGGTTTAAATTTGTTGCTACCGGCGTCAGCTGTAACATTTTCTGACATTTTAACTTCAAGATGAAAGTTTCAGTGCACAGTGCTCTCTATGCTAGCACTGTGGTGAATATATTTTAAATAACGATTTCACATTGTCGAGCAAAAATAAAATGAAGCGTTGGCAGTATGGAATCGTCAAATGCAGTGCGGTACAAACTAGAGAAGAGAAGGGAGATGGAAGAATGGCTGCGTTTGTACATGCTTAGATAAAAGCGCTTCTTTTATAATTTTTAGCGATGAAACGAGGGGAAAGAGAATGACGTTTACCACCGCCTTAATCTTGTCCAAAGTGAGAAACAACAGAAGCGTTTCTACTATCATAAGACAACACAACATGGTTCATAAAAGACACGTTAAAGTAGTTAAGCAAAGCGGGGAGATCATACATACCATGGTTCACTGTCCAGTGACTTGCCCTCTTGTTTCAACCATTCATGCAGCCAAATTGTCGTACTCGCAGGCGGGTCGACTTGGACAAGTCTAGAGGCTGTGAGAAGTGTATCTGCTAACAGCGTATCGGTGCGAGCCACAAAACTTGTGTGTCCTTTCACAGGGCAATCGGCATTGATGTAGGCGACAGCTCGCCGTCCCAATTCTAAAGACCGCTGCTCAACTTCATGCGTGGATCCCAATAAAGAAAGTTCCTCGCCGTCCCAGCTTGCCAGAACGATTGTTCGACGAGGACGGAAGCCTGATTTCGGACAGGATTCAGAAAACACTTTTGCTAGGACTCGAAGGCAGAATTGCATAAAACACCAAGTTGAAGTCCATGGAAGTACACAGTGAACTCCCACATATGCTAAAGTTCCTATCCACACACTGTCGTTCATAGGACGGATTCACGATATTAGCGCGTAACTCATGACAGCTTCTGGAAAGATACCTCATTTGTGCACCACAGACTGGCCTCCTTCTTATGGAGAGATATTGACCGAATTTCAGCACCAATAGTGACAGGTATCAAATGTATGCAAGATCCAGTCTCATCGCTGACAAACGTACTATGGGAGAGCACGATTACGATGTTGGATACTCATCAAAAGTTAACCACTAGCATAAACACTATTCAAGAGATACTTCACCATGACAATTTACATGTATACTCAGTAATCTGACAGGTTTTTCCCAACTGTTGAGAGCTGGAAGGTTGTTGATATTATTGGGTATCTTCGTGCTACATTAAAAACCAGGCCAGTACTGACCGTTATGCGGTGGCGGTCTGGTATTGTGTCCATATACATTAACTTCAGACTCCCATCCAGACAGTGCACTGAACTAGCCAATCCCGAGCCTAACGAATACTCGCACAAGACGCAGTGGATCACGTGCAGCGTACCGCACCATGTGGCCTATTTAAAGTGTGAAAAAGCCGTCGCAAACACGACTGGAACGTGCTTTGAAGGTGTAGCTCAGTAATGCAGAAAACGTTTTGACATACATACACATCCAATGCGACCGGATTTCTCGACCGATCACTTAAAAATGCACAGAACGCAATTCAGCTGTCCTCTATGCCGCACGACTGAATACACAAACCAACACAAAACACCAGTAAGTGTAGAATCGGCCTATAATGGAAAACGATGTAAACAATCGGTGTGACAACTGATTCAAGGGTCAAACGGAAACAGAAACCACCAATCGTACAGGTGTAGTGTTCACTTATCTAATATGTTGTCCTGCGTGATGGTAAACCAATCTTCACTTTATTTTGATGAGAAGAAGCAATTCAGCGAACAGGCTAGACAAGCAACAGCGTGGGTTGGAATTTCTGCTGGTTTATTTGTACTGTACTCTCATAAGGTTGCTGAAAATTCGTCGACAGCCCACAACCGGTTTCGCCCTTCACAAACGAGAGATTCAACTGGGTTCCAGGTGAGTCTCTCGAAAAGCCAAATCAGTTCACAAGTGAGTATATATTCCGCTGGTTTGATTAAATAAATCCTAACTGCACCATAGAGAAGCCCGTCTCAAGTACTCGTTCATGTCAGCTGAGTATGCAAAGCAGTCCCACACAAAACCACTAAATATTTCTCGTGGCTACCTGCGATTATAGCGATCTATAGCTTCATACAACTAAATAACGTTCACTCGGTGATTGTAAGGCTTGCGCATCAGCTTAAAACCCAATCGCCAAGCTAAGTAGCTGCATAACTGGGTGGGGAAGTCTATATCACGGGAGGAACGTGCCCGGTCATCGGTAATTCAGGAAACCCGTCCGATGTGGCAGACTCTACGAAAGCTGTGCTAAGGAAACTCTGATCACCGTGCACTCTTGGATGAAGTAACCTCATAAATAAGGGGTCAAAGTGATCAACTGGTTAACAAAACCAACGTCCGTATCCCACCTATGAAATTCCCATACCTCAATTTAACATCATTCTTGAAAGAAGATTCGATTACCTTTTGTCCATAACACCGAAATCGACTTACGAATCCCGTTCGTTTTGTGCATGTTTCATACAGAACCACCAAGCACTGGGGGCAAGATGGTTGAAGTGGTTAGAGCGCGAATTTACTGACCGGAAGGTCCGTGGTTCGAACCCGACCGCCGCCTCTCGACTTCCCCTGTATAGGCTTGAGCAACCTTGAAGTATCTCAGCCCTCGTGTTTCCTTCGGGTGGCATGGCAGCTAGGCACCGCAAGGGTGCTACAGCTGAACAATTATATTATATTATTAAGCACGGGCAACTGTACGGACTACAAATAGTTTGGAATAGCAGGATAGCCGGTCTACGAATCAATAGAATAGAGCAACTGGTGATTGCGAGATCCGGTAAGCTGCGTGGCAGACTGCTCGGAGTCAAGTAAAACCTGGTGGTTATATTCAATGTCACCATGAGAATGTATGAAATACAGTCACCACAGCGTGATAAGCTTAAAAACAGAACATAAAATTACCGTACCTTCCTTATAGGCTGACCCTAACAGTTTTGCAAGTTGCTGCAGAATGATTGTGCCAGATCCCGGATCACAAGCACCTTGAACCCATGCATCTCGATGATTCCCAAATACTACGTAATGGTCCGATTCGTCCGTGGAACCCGGGATTATCCCAAGTACGTTTAGCAAAGGAATACGCTCCGGTGAAACGCGATTATTGACGGTGACCTTCAACATGCTGTGAATACAAAAAGAATGGAAGCATATACTTGCAAGGTCGACCGGGGCGAATGCAAATGATAATGCTCCAAGAATTAGTTGTGGGTGATCGTACACTCACATCAATGTCGATTGAACAGTCTTCCTCCTGTAGTCGTGCAGTGATTTTGGTGAATCTACACCAAAGGAAGGAAGCACGGACTCAAGTTTCGCTGTTATTAAAGCTCATCAGCAGTGCATACATAACCTTGTCCGTGCATGGTTTTGAATTCCTCAGGTCTACGATGCGAGGCGAGCGTGTCACCACTGCTCCACCAGCGCACGTTGGAGGCATCTGAGTTTTCACGTCTGAACAGGCGAACACTCGTCAGTACATGAGCGACACATCGTAATGAATTTTAGTGTACAAAGCACAAATATGGCTGGACGTATGCCGATCGGTGCATGACTGAGGTGCAAAAGGTTACGTGCTAAGGCATCCTGGAATCGACATGTGACAACAAAACAAATGCTTTCCACTAGCAAGCAGTTTAAACCAATACATAAAAAACACCGCTTTGGAAAAAGGTGTCGTGTGTCGAAGAGAGAGCAACCCAAATCGAATGTGCACTACGGACCGGTAATCTGGCTTGCAGACGCTTTGCCTCAAGGTCATTCGAGCGCTGTTGGCTTGTGGACGGAAATATATCGTTCTGTTGCGCCGGATAAAGGAGTTAGCAGTCGTGCGTCCATCGCGTCACTGATGCTGTTGCGCCGGATAAAGGAGTTAGCAGTCGTCCATCGTGTCACTGATGCAGAAGGTACATGGCGATCCTGTTCCATATCAGATATTCAATGCTTATCGCCCTACAACATTCAGTCATTGCATTCAGGTGATCATGACAAACTTTCTCAATTAAAAGTATTAGTTGAAGAGTAACTGAGACAAAGCGGAAAGGCATCAGACCAGAACCATACGACTTATTCAAACCGTCAAAAGTCGCACCTGACTCGTCAGGTTTGTGTGGCAAGTGCCAGGTTACATGGATGTACACCCACTCCGATGAGCGATATGTTCCAAGGACGACTGGATTCCACTTATCTTTGATGGGACACTAGCGTAAGATTTGGGCGCGTGACCCATGAAATTTGTCTCAAGTACTCGTTGTTAAGAAGACAAGGGATATCTGATCCAGTAAGAATGAACCACCCAGTAATTACGATGCAGGACAAGATGAGTGCAAGGGCCAGAGCAGTTTCAAAAGATTATTTAAAGGTCCATTTGAACGTACTGAAGAAGCGAAAACGAACCGAAGCCTGACAGAGTGAACGTCCAAGCAAGATCGAAGTAAGCAATGAGAGAACTGATTTTACCCTCTGGCAATCAGCTCCTTTTAACGCACAGTAATCTCTCGTTACCTCGAAAACCGACGACTTTGATGGTACAGAATGTTTTTCATTGTAGTTCCCTCAAGAATAAGAACTATCAAACTGACTAACATGAATGGCTCAAGGCTATTTCCAGTTCACTTAGCCTGAGATTAGATTCGGTCATACCCTTTGATTCAAAATGATGACGTAGTTTGACGGTTTAGATAACACAATTGAAAGATGGAAGATGATTGATACATACGTCAACCTACCTCATCGGCGACGCACCGATGACAAACAGAATACTAAATTTTACAGGCTGCACAGAGTGGATAGGGACGGATTGTTCAATAAACAGATTAACATCTACACGACTGCAGATTTTCTTACTACCGGAAGTGAACATGATACAGACGAGTGAGTTCATTGGTAAATGGTTTGCCGCAGCTTCGCAGCACAGTCGAGCAGTATTCATATTTTGCTTTTGGCTAGTGTGGTACATCTGTATGGTCAAATCATATGGGCACCCAAGTGGCCACTCAACGATTAAACCAGATGAGGACAACCTAAAAGGCCAACACTTCACAGACAAATTATGTGAGGAACGGTCGAAATCTACTTTGGAGCCATAAAGGTGGTACTGCACATTCTTAGTGTGTACATCTATTCGCGAGCAGTCAACAACGATCCGACGTCCCTGCTGACTTGTACGCCCATTTGGTTGTCCAACGACTAGAGGGCGCACCCTTGAACTAAAGGCTGAGTAATGCCAGGCAAAACTGATTGCACTAAACAGGTTTGGCTTAGTAGGAAAGACCGCACTAGCTGAAAATAAGGCCAAATCTAGTCGCGTCCATCATGTCAAATTAGCGTAATCACATTTTCTTAGAGAACTGCAACTAGTTGCGCTTATCCCACCCAACCACGCATTGATGTCGTCTGGTAACATTCTCAAGCCAATTGCGAAGATCGGCGAATAGATCACCAGTCACCTGACAAAAAAATAAATGAAGACGTCCGAGCTACCAATAGTGGGACACAATTCCATCGCAAGCACCAATTCTGTGGCTTATATTCGGCTACGTTCAGTATCCAAACGCGCTAGTTATTTGCAGAACTTATCACTCCTGCTTCATGCGAAGTATGTCAAACGGAGTTAACTGTAGTTCTTTGCAAAAACACACAGATGAAGTATGGAGAGGTTAGGAATTCGTGGCGTGGTGTTTATCGGTTTACTTTACTTACGGTATCACTTCCGGTTTGTTCTATGATGAAATTTTGAGAATCACTCTTGATGTAACCTTATAAATGAAGAGAATTTTCACAATGGCCACGTCCAGACACTGCAGTCCAACTTCTTTACTTTTATTCTGTTGTAGAGAGATCGGTTCCCCCAGTTGAATGATGCACAAAACAAGATACTTTCCAGATGAGAGGATAGAAATGATAGCGCAACTCATCTCCAGAGTAGACTGACCTAAGAAAATCAAACTTCATATCGAATTTCGCCTGAAAAAAGCACCTGTACATGTCTACGAAACCTAATTTCTTTGGGGATAAGATGTCCGGGAACTAACATTAGATCTCAGACACATTACACACTGTCAAGCGCATAGGTTAGACAAAGATTCAGTGATATAAGATAACTTCGCCCCATTCTGAAATGAGTAGGTGACCTTTACCAGCAAAACTGTGCACGGGTTGGCGGGGCTGTCGGGATGGATGCCTGAACACCCGGCTAAACGTCGAACGTCTGGAATACCAAGATTCTGGGATTCTAGTATTCGCGGCGCTAAGACACCACATGGCTATCAAGCTGTACTGACAGCGTGTTCGGTTATAATCCGAGATGTCACAGGACCCAGTTCATATCAAAAGAGTGAACAATTCTCCACACGATCCATCCTGTTCCAGATAACGAACATTTCAATCCCATATATTCTGCAACAAAGGAAACAGATGGACGTCGGCCCGTTCACTGAGTTCGGTAGCTCGATTGTAAACGTTTCGTCACCAGTCGAGGTGACAAAGCAATGCATAATAAACCAGTAAAGCATCGGGGTGTAGGGTTACAGTCAGAGACACTGTTTGGTCCTCCTTTTTGGGCATGAGTAATCTGACAGTATGTTAACCCTCGTATTTTGTGTGGATAGTACGGTCCCACCGCAATTATGTCACAGCTGGAAGATTTAACTGTTCATTTTTTGGCTGCAGATGTGAAAAATGGTACAATGGAGAAGTGAAAACAGCATCATCTCTCCTTTTAAATTTGATTACCTGTCATGAGACGGACCGAGGTGAGTAGCCAAGCACCCGCTCCATTCTTCAGGTAGTTCAGGCCCGGAAAGGTGGGAGAGGATGACGGCAGCATCATTGTAACTGATTGGTTGAACAGGAATCGGAGTAAGAGCTTTGCCTGGCGTCATTTCGTGAGTTTCGTAGGTATGAACTATGCAAAGTAGTATAAAAACAATTTTACAACCAAATTTCGGCCTGCTCAAAACGAAATCAAAACAGCAACCAACGTTGCCTATTAGGTATTGAGTAGACTGTTGGACACAGATTTGACCATACAAAATAGTCGTTCAAAAAAGGTCACACGTCACTGGACTTTGTGCTAACAGATAACGGCGGATTGTTTTCAATGAAGTAGGTAAGGCAGTTTGCGTACCTTAAAGTCAACCCGTTTAAATAAAACAACAACCATTCAGTTGTAACAACCTTTGGGTGCCGAGCTGCCGTACAACCCGAAGGAAGCGCCAGGGTTAAGATAGTGCCGGGTTACCCAAGCCTAGACAGAAACAGCCAGAAGCCGTGATTGAGTAGACTGTTGGACACAGATTTGACCATACAAAATAGTCGTTCAAAAAAGGTCACACGTCACTGGACTTTGTGCTAACAGATAACGGCGGATTGTTTTCAATGAAGTAGGTAAGGCAGTTTGCGTACCTTAAAGTCAACCCGTTTAAATAAAACAACAACCATTCAGTTGTAACAACCTTTGGGTGCCGAGCTGCCGTACAACCCGAAGGAAGCGCCAGGGTTAAGATAGTGCCGGGTTACCCAAGCCTAGACAGAAACAGCCTAGAAGCCGTGGTTGGGTTCGAACGACGCTTGTAGTAAATATGTTTGCGCCTTGAGAATGGAGCAATCTCGAGCTTAACTAAACCTGTCAGAAAATTAGCTAACTTATTGGAGTCAGCAGTAGATCGTTCTTCCAGCGGCCGGGGTCATGCGGTACAATCAGTGGCAGGGGGAAGAAAGATCATCCTGTGCTAAGCAAAGCATTTTCTCCCTATTTTGGGTGTAACAGAACACTTCGTGTCTTCCTCTCGGCTGTTAAAGGACACAGGGCTGGAGCCATCTGGATGCTGCTACAATCTCTTGCTGTGGTAATAGGCTCGTGGTAAAATGAAGGTCAATCCTCGATTTAAAAACTCACTTATATATGAATAGAGGAGTCTCGCTCCACTCAAAAGGAAAATACAGCAATCCGTTTGTCATGCGCCCCTGACTGCATTGACCTTCTCCCTGATATGACCGGATGAATGAGAATGCTGCCCGTGAGAGATGGGTCATAAGTATATTCGCTCAGGATGACTGGGTTTAATCAGTTCCTTTTCAAGTCACCATCATGAGAAGTTTACCAAATTGCGATATCTTTTGCCTTTACCGAAACAAACATCTCGCATTCTGAATACGGTACTGAATCCCGCAAGCAACGACCCTGCCATCCAACCTGGTAGATTAAGCAGCCGGCAACGAAGTCATTTCGTTTTTGTTCATGTCGCGCTGAATATCCTCAGTGAAGCAGGAGAAAACCTAATTAAACCTTTAGGTAGACACTTTACACCAACTTATGTGGGTTCCAACCCAAACAACCAAAGGTAGGATATATTCGAATGGTTACAGCAACGTTATACACGGTTCAAAACTACTTAATAAAGCCCATACATTGAGTACCTTGTCCTGTGTTAGTGGCTTCCTTCAATGCAGTGTGCCCTTCTTATAGCGTCACAAAAATGTAAAAATACTGCTTCTTTGTGGTGTGCACCTTTTCCTAATACCGCAGATGAGGTCCCTTCAAAAAGCAACAACTTGGTTGTCTCTGGGTCCCTGAATCCAACCCTCGTTCTACCGTTCCTCGGCATACCACGCGCTGATAGTTGTCCCAAATTTACGATCTCAAAACTCAGCCCCATTGGTTCAGCGTGCTTCAGTAATTGGGCATATTTTCGCACTACATACGCTCGTGAAATTACAGACTCTAATATCAAGAGATGCATGCAAAAACCTATCAAGATACCACTGCCACGATCGTTGGTTTGTTCCCTGAGCCGGGCAGTAGGACTGAAAACATATCAGCACCAACCGAGATGACGTCATCAATGCATTGTTAGGGGATGGATTGGAGCGTAGAGGTGCTTCAGCACAACCAACACAGTCATATATAGAAATTAGTTGAACCGAGGTAAATGAACGGCGGAGGTTTTACACAACAACTTGAGACGGGTTGTTCCATACACTTTTTGCGATAGTGAAGCGGAAAGTGATTTTCACTAAGTAATAATTGCAAAATCAAGAGCTGCTATCCAGTGAGCGAGGTACTAAGCCGGTTGTACGATGCCAGTAATTTCGCCATAAGCATGATCAAGTTGAACTTTAAGACGTCCACAAAGATTGCGTCAATATGCGTCGGCTGACTTTTAGGGTTTATATGGCAACACGCAGCTTGTACGACGTATCGGAATGAAGAACGCTCAAACGTTCTAATTTGTATGATTGGGTCGGCTGATTGTACAGACAATTTTGCGGGCAAACCATTCGATCCCACAGCGCAAAAATAAGTAACGATTCAAGTTCTCAAACTAAAGGGAAAAGTCAATATCCGAATCGAATTCCCCGAATTGAGATCGCGACTACTGTAGTCATTTTAATTCGAACCATGTGTTACTTAATTTTTGTTATGTAGTCATTTTAATTCGAACCATGTGTTACTTACATTTTTGTTAGCAGCACGTATAAAATATTGAGTCGCTCACCGAGGTCCTGACCTGTGTGCCGTGGACGCGGAACCGGAACGGAAGTCCTGCGCCAATTGTTTGATGCAGCAAACCGTACAGTGTGATAGGGTGGGCTGTGGTGGTATGGTCGAACAGCAGCAAGTCAGCGTGTGGCATCCCTTGTATAGTGACGTTTAATAAAGCCTTGACATATCTGATGCTCTCGGATGGGCAACGGTAAAGAACAATAACGTTCTACAGCATCCGGTCAACTGAGCCTACTCTGGAGAATTTCAGGCATCCGTGTCCGTCATGGTCAGCCTCAAACACGCGTAGAAGTTCGAAGACCCTAATTGTGCACAATAACCCTGTGGACCCGATCAACGCCCAGTGCGAACCCATTCGAAGGCATTAGTCACAAGTTAAGTTCGAAATAAGCAAACCGTAGCTGATTGCAAACCCCTAAAATCCTCATATCGCCAACGCGCGTAGAAGCCGCTTCGGCGAGGGAACATTTAGAGATATAACTGGCCTGCCCGACCTTCGATTTACTTGATTCATCAATTCCGAAGAGTCTTGTCGTATTACGTGCAAAGGGGATAACATGAAGCTTCACTTAACTCTTGAACGACCTGAGGATTATCGTATTATTAGTCACGGCTACTTTTTTCCAGAAACAAGCCTTCTGATTTGCTGCATGGAGTGTGACGGTTAGGTTGGTTTCGAGGGTACAAATGTGGACACGTACGCGGATGTACTTTGCGAACGCATGGGAAGCGATCATCTGCTGCATATGTGAGTGTGCGACATACACCATACACACCAAGAGCTCAATCCTCTTGTTTCTGGGGCACTTAAGTCCAGAAAAACAATTAGATCAGGCGACTGAGTATGCACTATTCACTGAGGATCAGACAGATGAATTGCACGAACTGAAAGAAGCGGTGTACTGACCGCAGTGAGTATGAAGCTAGAGACAACATGGTCGACAAAACCGATCAGAGATCTACAACGGAAATATCGATTGCAGTCAGGACACGAATAACAGGCTGCTAGCTTTGCAAATCGCATTGGAAGCAAGAAAACTTTCTGTTCAAAACCTAAGCCTCTCTCACAGCATGAGCCAAACAACGTCGGTCGCAGTTAGAGGCCGGGTTTAAACCACAAACTTTCCGGCCAGAAAATTCGCACCCTGACCAGTGAACCATCTCAGTCGCTACTGGGAGTAGTAAAGACTGAGATCTGACGAGTTATTGATCCACGTCCATGGGTTATGAGAGGGTATTCGCAATTTATTTAGTTGAGGAACTCAGCAGCAGTAAGATCTTAACCACACGCCGCTGCTAGGTTTTAAGATTATTCGTAGGCTTTTGTAGCTTTTGTAAAACATAAACGTAGAATTAGAAGATAGATCATCCATCGACTGGCTAAAGTCAATACTGCCTTAAGAGCGTCAAAACTTCCGTTTGTTGCCATAACGTAAACAACCATGCCTTGTGATGATGCCTGGAAAATTAGGAAAACCAAAATCGCCGCGAAATATGGCCGAATTGGTTGCAACATCTGGAACCATTTTCTTTTGAACATGCTTGGCCTAATTACAACTCAGTCACGGTCAAAATAGACTCGATGCTTCAAATCAGGCCAAGACGCGATTAGTACGCAAACTCCTTTGGTCTACAAGTGATCATCCACGCATTCCAGCGACAACCAACGCAGAAAATAATTGGAGAAATCGTTCACCCTCCCCCCACTCTAGAGCAGCAGAGGTCAGCTTCCTCACATTGGTCTCTCGTCCACCCTAGTTTTACTCAAAACTCAATATCAAGGGAATAGGCAAATAACTTTCACCAAAGGCAATAGGATCTCGTTTACACAAGTATAAGGAACGGGCGTTCTGTAATGGAGTAATTAAATGACGTACACGTGAAACAATCCTGTCACAACAGTTTATTGTAGTGTTAGGCTCTCAAACCGAGAGAATGAACTGAGTAGGCAAATCCATGTATGAACCGCAGCATGTGGGCATCACCAACACCAACTCGATCCACACCAGACCGAGGAAAAGTTGGACCAAAAATTTGGGTATAAAGTTTGGTTGGTCGCCATTAGAAGACAAAGTAACAGGTTGTTCTCCGCCCCCAAACATCGGTTCCCGGTGGTCTACATACAGACCTCCCGAGCCACCTGCTCGAGTGAAGAGATTAGGATATGGAATGATGGGATGCCACAACGTCATCGGAGAAATTGAATACTACCCTAGCTTTAGTAGGTTAGTTAGGCTATTTTCAAACTTACGCTGTGCTGAAGGAATTAGAAGACAAAGTAACAGGTTGTTCTCCGCCCCCAAACATCGGTTCCCGGTGGTCTACATACAGACCTCCCGAGCCACCTGCTCGAGTGAAGAGATTAGGATATGGAATGATGGGATGCCACAACGTCATCGGAGAAATTGAATACTACCCTAGCTTTAGTAGGTTAGTTAGGCTATTTTCAAACTTACGCTGTGCTGAAGGAACTTGAGGAGTGTCGTTCAAATAGCTCAGATAAATAGAACCTGATCAGTTGATCGTGCCAGAACTAGCAGATAAAATATGCGACGGTACTCTCTGAAGAGATACTGCTGCATTATACTTTGTCAATGGTTAGTGAACATCTCGGGCACAGAGTATCACTCAACCCCACAGCTCGTGCAACCTCAGTAGCTGACTTTTGGTCAGTATCAAATGAGTGCAGGTCATCGTTCTAGTTTACGACTCATGCACACCAGAATTATCCGGCAACACAGGTTAACTCTAGATTAATAAAAAACGGATGTCTTGGGGAATACACGTGGGATTTAACCGAACAGCCAGCTAGGATCAGTATGCATAGAATAGACTAGAACTTCATAACTTTTAATCAGTGAAAGGGTAAACAACACGCTTGGGTCATACTCATACTTGTGACAAATTTCTTTGGCAGGTGAATTCTGTGTTCCCCTAGCAAAATTGCCGCCACAGATAGCGCCTCACCGAGCTTTGAGGCCATTCGACCATAGGATCATACAGACCACAGTCTTGAACAAAAATATTCCCTTCCATAAATTTGGTAATTCCATGCGATACCTCGAAATGGAGTAACAATCCATGAAGCGAACGACTATTCCGTTCTGAAGCACAGATACATACACGAATAAGAACGTTTAATTATCCCGATCCAAAGTAAATCCAAACCCATGAGGAGTTATAAAACACTTACTAGAAGAAGGTAGGTGGGGAGCGCAGGGATTTCCACCCCCTCCATGTGACATGCATAAATGACCAAAGATTGGGGAGTCACCTGGAAGACCAGGTCCGTCGGGATAGACGGGGTGGTGTGGGGAAACGGTGTCTTGTGGGTCTGGATAAAGAACCAATGCAGAAGGATGGTGGCCAGGTACAGGGGATCCAGCAGGGCCACAATCACAATGCGTGAAGAGCGCGCGTATTTTTGACTGTCGCGTGGTTTTTTGTAAACGGGCAATTGCAGTAAGTTTTCCCGAACACAAAAGACTCGGTTGACCTTTTTGGCGACCTTGTGTTTTGTCGAAAGTAACCAAATCCCGAGGTCTGCAATAATTGAGGAACACAAAACGACCTGTGACTGAACCGTTGGTTGAATACGCGTGATACACGGGGAGAATGGAGAGGCTGTCTGAATTCCCATAAGTTGCCTCAGCCGAATTCTCTTGAGAATGTGACAAATTGGATACCGGTGTCGTTTGATCAGACGGTGTACTAACTAAAAATCGAAATATGAAGTCAAGGTTATCAAGTGGTCAAGAAAGCACGGAAGATATTGGGCTAGATCTGGATGTATGAGGAACAAACTAGTGGATAAATGGTAACGTCTGTGAACTTAATACGAAGGAAATTCAGAATTGAGCAGAGTTACACACCATAGTTTTTTGCTTCAAAGATCACTTTAGAACCGGCAGCATCCGTAAGAATCACCTCATTCAAAGGCCCAGAAGGAGATGGTCCGAGAGGCAACGTGACAAAGAACTCCTCACGTCGAACAATGGGGATATGCCACGATTCCCAATCCGAGGCAATTCGTTCTAAAATGTGAAAAAAAATGAACAGTGACCCTACGACCAAAAAATCAGGAAAGCTAGAAACCACAATGGGAAGACCGTCCCAGAAGCCTTCCGTAAACGGTATGAGAATTAAGGTTTAAAGGTTTTAGCGAGCCGAACTACACTCCCATATGGGAAACCAGGTTTAAAAAGGCATCTCTTGTAGTTTCATCAAAGGTAAAAGTATCAGACCGAATATTGGGTTGTGTGGAAGAGACGCAAAAATGATCTCCTGGTGGACATCGGCGGTTTGCATACCTCCTTGTTCTGCAGCGACAAACACATGCAAAAATCAGAATGAGTTCCCACATCATACTACCGAATCATCATGATCATCATCAAAGACAGCTATAAACAGCAGTGACACTCATGCTTCGCTGCCTACACGAAGGCACCGGACCCTAACGCGGTGTGACGAATTGTGTGCCTGTGGCCCACTGAGCTATATTGGAGGATGCCCATTGAACACCCGCAGTCTTTCACATCAGGTTAGTCAGTGGTTAGATGTTTGACCAACACAGTCACCTGGCACCTCCTCACACCTCCTCCACAGTCTCAGAACTGCAGTTTGTTGGGGCGTATGCTGATACAACAAACACCGTTTACCGCACCGACCTGCATTGATCTTAAATGACAGACAACCGAACAGCACGAAGACGACTGTTTACTGGGATCCAGTCCAGTAAGACGCTTTCAACCATTGCATCAGGACCACTAGATACACGAAGAGTGAAATATCTGAGCTCGTCCTAGGTAGTCTGAGGTGCACGACCGAGGTGGCTGCGTGTTTCCGACACAGCACATTGACCGAGATGGAAAGCAAAATATCAGAAACAGACGTCTGTTGCCCAGTGTGAACATACGGACACTGAATGCTAGAGGAAACGTCTTACTGTCTAGGTTCGCGCATTAAAACTAGCATGTATTCCACTGAAATTACAAGATGAGCATGCAAAAAAAGGTGTAGTTCTAAGGTCTGATGATTGGAACTGTGCATTAAGAATGAGAGACCACAGAAACGGACCGAAATTATACGCAGTGGACGGCATGCTCAACTCCGTAAAACGCTACTCACCTCCCAAAACCCGATTAGCAATCGTCCCAGGTGGATGTGGCTGGCCAGCAGCAAAAGTGCGTAGTTGTTCTTGTAGAAAGTCAGGTGAGACCTGCTCATACAGTTGCCGCGCTAGCTCCTTCCAGTCTGTATCGAGTAGGGATTCATGCGTCTAAAACGGATGAAAAATCAAGGCAAACTCAGTGCTACTAAACAGTAGCTGGAGCGCATTTTTGTCAAAGTCAGATACACCTTGTAAGGCTTGCAATATTTTGGTCCCAACTGCTCACTTGTCAAAATTTCAGTGTTATTTCAGTGTTCGGCGGATCCACTGACCAAGAATCACTCTTAACTTAGACGGCACATTACACTAGCTAGAAGACAGCGTTAATGAGTTGTTGGCCAGAAGCTGAATAGGTAGAGTACATGCACTACCTCAGTAAAGCTCATCCATTTCGACGGGAAACCCACAAGGAAGTAACAGAAATAAGTTTCCTTTCAAATCCTTTGTCGTCTTCTGTGACTCAGAAGACGGGTTGACATAAGCGTTCAGCTGTAGCACCCTTGCGGTGCCTAGCTGCCATGCCACCCGAAGGAAGCACGAGGGCTGGGATACTGCCAGATTGCCCAAGCCTAGACAGGGGAAGTCGAGTGGCGGAGGTCGGATTCGAACCACGGACCTTCCGGTCAGTAAATTCACGCTCTTACCACTTAAGACATAACACTGATCGGTCTCACAAGGAAGACCGGTGGATTCAGGTACCTGCCATACGTTTGGACCCGGGATAAAATGCAAGCACTTAGCTCAGCTTTTGTATTATTGAGCGATTTAAACTCATGCATTGCCAAGTCCGATGGTTGGCCCTAGCCTCAACCAGTCAAAAAGTAGATACCACTGTATGTAGCAAAGTGTGCTCGTAATTCTGTACATATGAGATGTCATTAGGATGGAAATCTCCCAAAGCGCGACTTGTTGCACAAGTGCGCTTACATGGACAAGCTAGTTACAAGGATCTACGGCCTCCTTAGAAGCACCAATTAAATGGAACAGAAAGCAGCTTTTCAACTGATGAACCATAAAGATTGCAACAGGCAGATATGAAGGACCGTCATTCTGGTACCCAATGCACACGACACAGTCACTGTTCAAGAATTAGGAAGCAGTTAGTTACATAGCATTTTGACTCACATTTATTATTTGCGATAACATTCAAAAATAGGCAAGTATAAAAGATATATACCAGGAAAGACAACAAATACCATGGGAAAACCTCACTAGATAAAATAGGTATAGTGACCTATTTGCAGTCGGCTTATCTCGTGTATCCCAGTTTGTGCACTGGTAATCCTGAAGTCCCAAGAATATTGACATATCTAGCTAATAGTACCGTTTAACTGTCGAAAAACTACGAGGAAGCAATACCTTGGCGGGAGCATTTAGCTGTAGCACCCTTCCGGTGCCTAGCTGTCATGCCACCCGAAGGAAGCACGAGGGCTGGGATACTGCCAGATTGCCCAAGCCTAGACAGGGGAAGTCGAGTGGCGGAGGTCGGATTCGAACCACGGACCTTCCGGTCAGTAAATTCGCGCCCTAACCACTTGGACCGTCTCTTTTTTTACCTTGGCGGGAAAATAAAGAGGAAGCATGGGGACTCATCGTTCAAGGGCCTGGAGATGTCCCAAAAGCTTGAGAACCAAAAGGTGTCCAAGTCAACAGTGTCAAACAGGTATTTCGTTCCAACGCGACTGGCTACTGTTTTAGGGTGCCGGTAGTACAAATGCCCGGAGCAGTCAACTGTAACCAACTATAAACCATGTGCTTATAGTACGTGGTTTCCAGCTGCTACAGCTTCAGTTACGAAACACTGGACCAAAAGAGGAGCCCAATCAGTTCATTGAGTTTGAATCATTCTAGCTGCCTAGTGAAGTGGGGAATTGAGAAGCTGTGAATTGAGGTTAGATGCTCTGACACAGGAGCGCCGTTTGCTCCGTGTTCTTCAGTGTCACTGATCGCCACTGAGTCTAGAACCCGTGTCCCGATCCAGGAAGGCAACATCTACCAACTTGAAAAATACGTCGTTGCAGGACGTGAACTGTTCGCCTCCTGGTGGCGTAGCTGTATCTCTACTGCCTTGCCAGGCAGATCAGTTCGATATCGTTGGCTTACCGACCAGAAGTTCCGACCGACCTCTGCGTCTTGACTTCCCCTGTCTAGGTTAATGCAACCTGCCCCGTGCTTCTCTCTGGTGGCACGGCAGCTAGGCACCGGAAGGGTCTTACAGCTGAACGACTTCTAAAAAAAATTTTCCATGGACCACCGACATTTACATTCTCCAACGGAGTCCATAACTGGTTTTGCGGTTGGTGACCTCCAAGTAACAGAGTGAGTGTTTATGCTCAAAGTTCGTAATGTTAAAGAGGGAATACTGTTCAGTACCAAATGAAGAAATGCCCCCCCTTACATGCAGAGTGAACATCGACTCCCTCCAATGAGTCCAAACGTTCTGTTGAACAACTTCGGTCAGAGCCGATTCAAAGTGTCCACTTGACCCGATGCGCTGGGATTACATCCACCAGACCTTCGGAACATTAAAATCGCCTACCAACAAGAGATGCGTGAAGAGGTAGCTGGAGGAGTGTTGCACAGGGGTTTGTATGAGGAACTGGTTACCTTCACATTCACAACTAACAATACTTTCAACGCACATCGGCCGAGTGGTGCCATCAGCCGGTCACCTTATTTGCTGCATACAGCAGGGCGGTAAGCGAAAACATACTACTGTTTACGCCTTACTTCTTACACTTTCACGTTTTCCGTCTTCAACCCTCCCCCACATAAATTTGAACACTTTCTCCGCAGGTCCCAGCTCTGGGACTGACCGTGTTGCTCGCTCTGCGTCACACTCAGCTGCAGCTTCTGTACGTCCGAGCTCAGTCACAACCCTTCGAAGTGTGTTTTCAAACCCGAAAGCCTGTCTACTTAGCCACCTTCAATGTTTCCACACCGAAACAAGCAGGTCAACAGGTGGCTCTTGCCCGTACGCTGGATTCCCTCTGCATTGATGTATGTTGTCTGTCAGAAACAAGGACGCAGGATACAAATACTATGATCGAACGGACTGCCCCCTCGCTCTCTTCCACGTTCCGGCTACGTACCTCTGGTGATGCAGAGGCCACTGAAGATGGGTATGCTTGTGTGGGTATTGTATTGAGCGAACGAGCAGGGGCTTCTCTGCCTGATTGGATACCCTTTGACAGTTGCCCCTGCGCGATTCGTTTGACAACATCTGTGAGAGAACCTAGGGAGAGTGAGGCTCATGGCACCTTGTTTATTGTCTGCTTATGCTTCAGCTGACTGTTGCTCTGATTTTGCCAAGGATAGTTTCTATGGCGCTTCAGGAGCAGGCTGAAAACTCATATATCGTTGTGGTTGCCGGTGATATGAACGCCCAGATAGGTAGACTAAGCGCTGCTGATGCCCTATTGGGTGGTCGTCTTGGTTTGAACACGAGACGCACAGACAACGGAAATCGTTTACTTCGGATGTGTGCCGATCACAGACTGTTCTTTTGCAGTATGAATTTCCGGAAAAAGTGGAAATTGCTTGACAACGTGATGTCCACCAACAAACCAGCGCCGAATCCAAATAAACCACATAGCCGTCAGTTATCGGTAGCAAGGGTCGATCGCCGCCTCCCGCTCCTTCTGAAAGACCAGCGTGGACTCCGAACATGCACTTGTATGCTGCTGCTTTTTATTGCACATTTCAGGTGTACGCTAATCGCGCACACCTCGCTTAGCCAGTGAGAAGCTAATGGACCCAGAAGTCAAACGAATACATCAGAACCAGCTCCTCGAACGCCTGCCGGACGATCCAGTGTCGCAGATCAACGGCAACTGGGAAAAAATATCCAAAGTCGGAATGTCTGTCTGCGGTACAACCCAGCCAACCTCATTCAAGCATTGAATCTCTGATAGGACCTTGTCTTTACTAGAGACCCGGCGACAGTCCCCCTGGCCGCCATAAATCCACCGGACGCATCAACCGACGCCAGGTGAAACTGAGTGTCCGCGAAGATCGAGAAGCTTGGTAGACCCGAAAGGCCGAAGAAATGGAAGATGCAAAGAATGCTGGAAATGTGCACAAGCTGTTCCACTTGATTCGTCTGAATGGACCTTGGAAACCTCTTGTCAGCGAAATAGTCAGAGGCCGAAATTGCTCCCTGATATGCAGCAAAGCGGAACGTTTGGATCGCTGGGCACAATACTTCGAATAGGAATTCAGCTGGCCACCGGCTACCTCCAGTCAGGGATCCTAGCCTTCGACAGAAAGATGGACCGTAAATATGGAGCCGCCTTCAGTCTCAACAGTGTCCGAATGTACTTCTCCACTCCAGCGTCATCGTACTGCTGGTCCTGACGACATCCCGCCTGCTCTTTTGATGGATGGCGATGGATTCCTCAGCCAGTACCTGTCTAGCCTATTTGAGTCTATCTTGGAGGATACCGTCCCAGACAACTGGGGTGAATCGATAGTAGTGCCCCATTTTCACAAAGGGTACTCGCAGTGAATGTAGTAACCAGAAGTGTTAGTTTGACGCCTGTTGTAACAAGGCTTCTGGCGTCACTGATTCTTCGTCTTCTCACGGTGGCACGCGGAGCCTTGACTCGTGAGAATCAAGCGGGATTTCGACCGGGTAGAGGCTGCGTTGACCACATCTTCACACTCCGTCAGGTGTTGGAGCAACGCCATATGTGCAGACGACCCACAATTCTTGACTTAAAGAGTGCGCTTGATCCTGTCGATCGATCAATGCTGCTCAACAGGGTATGCTCCAGAAGTTTGTAAATGTAATCCGATCCCTATATTCACATACTTCTGAGCAGGTGAGAGGGTATGGTGAGCTCTCCACAAGCTTCCCTACAAAAAGCGGTGCTAGACAAGGATAGCCACTCCCTTCACTCTTGTTCAACTTCATCATTGGTGAAATAATGAGGTGAACACTGGACGTCTTCAAAACTACGGTGTTCAAATTTTTGCTGGTGACAGCCTTATCGATTTGGAGTTCGCAGATGACATCGCCCTCATCTTTGAAGACCATAGCGAGGCACAAGCCCTGTTGAATAAACTGAGGGCCATCATACCATCTTTTGGCATGCGCCTTGCACCTTCATAGTGCAAAGCCCTGTTTCAGAACGTACCATCTGCGAACATATCCCTTACAATTCAAGGAGAACCACTGGAGATTGTGGCAAACTTTACATACCTCGGCAGTTGTATTAGCTCTGACGGAATTGTGTCTGATGAAGTCAGTGCAAGAATCTCAAAGGCCCGAATCACGTTTGCTAATTTGCGTCAAAAAGGCATCTCACTAGATATTAGGGGTCGAGTGTACCAGGTTACAGTAAGGGCTGTGTTATTGTACGGGTGCGAGACATGGCCTCTGCGGACAGATGATGTGAGGCGCCTTCAGATTTTCGACTAACGATGCCTCAGAAGCGTGGCTGGTTTTGGATGGCGTCAATGTGTTAGTGACCAGGTGATTAGAATAACGAGTATTTGGCTGTACTGCAGGTACTTCAATCGGGAAAACATCCAGATTTATCGACTAAGATGGCTTGGTCATGTGCTACGCATGCTGAAACACCGTCTACTGAGACGAGTGTTGTTCTCAGTGCCTCCTTCAGGATGACGCCAACGGCGAGGTGGACAGCGCCTGACTTGGCAGAAAGACATGAAACATACCACGTCTTCCAGGATGACGTCCCCGTGACCCCACCTGTGCTTGGCTGGAGTCGCTGCATGAAGTGGCGGCTAATCGATGCGAATGGCGTTCGTGTTATCAGTTTCTTTCCAGATCGTCTGACTGAGCGGTTGGAGGTGTAGACACCTCAGAATGCTTGACATAGGCCAGCGCCAGGTCTCCTACCTCACCCATTCTTTTCCTCTTCTTTTCACTGTAGGGCTCTTATTATAATTATGTATACATACATACATGTAACTGGACGAACCTTATGGTTGTACGGCAGTGAAGCGTCAGTGCCAACAATGATGTTGCTGTCTTTGATTATTACAATGATGATGACAAGTTATCTTCCGGTGGACTCGAGGGGCGACGGTAGACCACGCAGAGGGATTGGAATCCACAGTGCATTACAAGGTGTAGGAGTGGTATCAGAGAGGACTATCGCGATGGGCAGGGCAGCATGTAAGTCTAAAGTAACCCCAACTGGCCTCCGAGACGAGATGGCCCAAAGGGTTAGAGCGCGGATTTACTGACCGGAATGTCTGTGGTTCGAACCCGACCTCTGCCTCTCGACTTTCCCTGTCTAGGCAGTATTCCAGCCATCGTGCAACATTCGGGTGGCATGGCAATTAGGCACTGAAAAGGTGCTACAGCTGAACAACTGGCCTCCCATATTTCGAGTTTTCAAAAACGGAGTAGCCATCTACCAAGACCTCTGCGTCAGAGACATCTGGTGTGAGCCATGTTTCTGTAATTGTGATTATGGACGGCTGTTCAAGGCAAGCTAACTGTTTAATATCGCGAAGTTTGTTGAAAAGACTGAAGTAGTTATTGGACAAGCACTTCAACACTATCTCTGCTGCGTCCGAAAGTGGGGAGCTGAGACCTATGATATGAGAGGTTAGTAGACTTAATAGCTGTACGCCGGGTTCGAGTCCAAGCCTCCGAAGGGGCCTCTGAGGGGTGTTTTTCTGCTCCTTGCCTTGGTTTTTCCGAAAAATATCCTTCGCTTGCATCGTCTGGTTTGCGCTGACATTTTTTCCCTGGAGGATGTTTTTTCGATCGTGGATGAGCATTTTGATGTCTGCTAGCTGTTCTCGTGCAATGCCAACTTCTGAACGTCTGGATTAGTTGTTCAAGGGTTTGTAGTGAACATGCGCCCATTTGGATTTTTTCGCGGTGTGACCGGTAGGGTTTATCTGTGAAGCCTTGTCAGGTCGCTTGTACGTTGCATGACACCAGCAAGGGATATTCCTTTTGGTGGCACTCCTAAGAGGCTCCTTTTCGTAGAGGATTGCACCTTGAATCTAGTTAACAGGGGTGGGGTTTACACGGCTTATTCAACCGCAGTCGCTTTCCATTTGTGTTTGTGTCGACTCCCAGGTCGTCCGTGATTAGCATGGCCAACTCAGTGTGTGTAGAAGTTTTCATTAAATTTTTGCCGGGTTTATGACTTTGGTTATCCGGGTCATGAGGGACGACTGTGTCCACGATCGGAGAGGCTGCGTTTGATGGAGTGGAGCTGAAGGATGGCAGTGACGCATCTGTCGAAGTTTTGGGGTGCTCGCAGCAGTTCCCGACGCCTAGGTGAACGCTTGTGGTTGACCTCTCAGCTGACATCGCAGCTTGTCTCCGCATAGCTGACCTAATCCAGTTTAGAACTTGTGAACAGGGTGCGGAGTCCATCGTTGCGCTTTTATCGTGCGGTAAGGAAATAAGTGATGATAACTCCAACGAACCTGACCGCTTGTAATTTTGAACCCGAACCCAGAGAACGTTATTCCATTAAGATTGCCTGTAGGCATCCGGATTTAAAGTTACACATTATATACATGTTGAAGTACGCCTCGCACTGTATGATCGACCAGTGGACGTCTTTTTTCTGTGTTAGGACGACGTATATATCCTTTCCGGTGGCACTGGTACTTGATGGACGTTTTATCACCGGAGGAATTCGCTTTCGAGTTTCGCACGCTGTGCGCACAGCGTGCGCTGCGCAGCGCACTATCATATGATACTGAAATTCGCCCGAACTGCCTGACGTAGTTCACGAGTTCCTGAACGTTTCGGGACAGGCGGCTGCCCAGGTTTTCCCCGAACAGGGTGGCAACGTTCACCGCGTACTCCGCAGCAGAGACAGGGGAAACTGCACCGGCCAATCGAAACCTTGGGTAGCCATAACGAGTGTGCATCGCACGCGTGCGCGGATATTTATATAGGTCAGGTCCACCAATGGAAATGGAGAATGAGCCCATATCTTTGACGAAAGCTCACTACTGAAATCGAGTTTAGTAGTGTAAACTGAACGAGAAAAAAACACTTGCAACTTTGGACAGAAATCAGAAAACAGACTTGTGGTAATAGTGGTGTACAGTACGGTGTATCGCTGCCTGAAAATGCAGGTGCCACGCAACTTCAGTATGGACAGGACTTTTACCCGCATGACGAAGATAGGATCTTTGATATCAATATTGAAAGCATGTGTATTCGTTTAAAACAGGTGGATTGAGTTACTGAATTGGGAAACGGGAACTAACCGCGATAGAAACCCAATCAAATAATTGGTTCAAAAATCATCAGGCAATAAGAGTATAGCACCGTACCTTAGACTGTTCAGTATTCGCACAATGGAATCGAAAGGTACGGTGTTTCCAAGGGCACCACCCCATACTGAAGAATGGCTACGTAAAACCGGTTGTTCCACAAATTTCCTGCATGGGTGATTGGTTTGGGTGAACGAATCTTCAAGGTCATAATCACCATCGACTTTGAAAACGGTTACTAATGCAATGACACATCACGAATTGCGATAATACGTGCACTACTTACAATGGACGAAATTTGCAGGAAGCTCTGCAGCTGAAATCGTTCATTGGGTAGTCAGTTCGGGTCACCATGATAGCTAAGAGTGAACAATTAATCGTGATAAATTAAGACCAGGCTAAATCAGATATATTCTCGGGTCCGCTGAGGGAGCGGTGAGATTCGCTGATGCTATTCAGGCGAAACAATGAGGGCCCCAAAATCAGAGTGTCGAAAGGTCTGCCGTAGGGCACTATGACACTAAATTGCAGGGAGCCAAGAATGGTCGCAATTTTTGACTACTGCTGTGGACGATTCCAGAAATGGCAATAGATACAATGGCGGAGTTAGTAGGTATGCGGCCGATGCGAAAAGGTGTGGCATTTGGCATCAACTGATGCAACAAGGAGCCTGCGGGGACAATAAATTGGAGAAAAAATTGTGGCGCCTGGCAGTGTTGTGTATTTGGACGAAGCCATCAGAATAAAGCAATTGGAGATAAAAAAAAACATAGAGGCTTTGCAAAACTAGTTGCGTTGGACGTATCAGCTTGCGAGTCTGCATTGAGCCCCCCGCCAGCAATTTTCACTCTGCCCTGAATGATGTCTCGGATTCATAGGAGGATTACCTGGGGCCTGTGCTACGCCCAGGGCAAGCTTGAGGCAGCGACAGTCACTCGGTCATAGCTGCTTCCATTTTACATTTCACTTTCGCCCACTGCAGAAGGTGGAGTGCGAGGCTCAGCATGGGGAAGAGAGTATTTTTGGGTATGGGTGAGCCGTCGGAGTGAGGGTTGTCAAATGTGTATTGTTTCGTACCGCCAAAGAGGGGAGGCGCGAAATGGGGCTACATGACACCGAAAGATTTGGTGAGTGCTGTATGCTACTTGGTGACCTGAAATGCCGATCATGTAAGTAAAATTTGGATGGGAAAGCAAGACTTATTCAGCGGATGGATCATGGAAAGCCAAGGTCCGTCGACCATTTAGAGGTCAAAAGGGGGAGTGGTATCAGTTTGGCGATGTATTGTACTCGGTCGCGGGTAGGCGGATATTTGTTTCTAGGCCATAAGATATAATAAACCATGCAGTCACAGGTTAGATCATCAGCACCTAGGATAGCTGGATTGTTTGAGGAATGGCCGTCCAAGTAGTTAATCCATCCAGATATTGTAGACCTGATCGTTGGAGGGAAGATAGGTGGAAATACATCGGCATGAACGATGCGTTAGATGAGGCTAAAAACAGGTATGGAAAAGAGCCTCAATAGCTTGTGATAGCTAGCGGCCTCACATCTTTGTGTTACGAGATGTCAAAGTATCTTTATAGATAACCGGGCGCTGATAATCGCAACGTGTTGGTTGTCAAGTGCAAGCATAAGAGGATCTGTTTTCCAGAAAAGGACGCTTAGTTGGTCACACTGCCACTGCGGTTACATGTGGCATGGTTATAAGTGATGATGAAGGCGATGTCGTGTTTTCTAATAAACTACATGGATGCAATATATGGTTTAGATTTAGCGCTCATAATGCAAAAAGTTGACACCCTGTGCCCCCTATCATTGTTTTGGCCACATCAGTGGGTACATTTCTGAAGATACCTGAGATCCTTGAATCCTGGAACTCAAGTCTATCCCGCTAAGTCTTGCGGCTAACTTGTGTACACCTCTCTAGCTTTAACTTCGCTGCGTCAAATAATAATGATCACTAAATCTCGCTATGGCATTATCGGTGTACGCACACACAATGAAGCTAATGAGCAGGTAGTAAGTTTGCCTTCATAAGAGTGGAAATTTCGTTTGAGCGTGAACACTGATCGGGCACAGTGGACAGCGTCATTTGTTGAGCACTTGTTGAGTTAGACTATGCAACCTTGTTTAATTATGTTATCGGTTATATTGCGGAAGATGTACACGTACTGTAATTGGTTATATATTCGCCTTTTCAGAAACCCGTGAGCTCGACAGTGGGCAACATATATTGGCATAAAGAACCGTCGTTGGTCGTTGGTAATCATGTACAGTTGAGACCTTATAACGCCGCATTATCTCCTGACAAGTTGCGCATATCGGCGAATTTGGATCACTCGCACAGGTCACGCTCTAAATGACACGTCATGAGGGGTCAAGTAATCTTCTATCATTTCACTGAGTACAAGGCAAGCTTCCCGAAGAAGGATGTACCAAAGTTTGGTAAGCCAACTCATCCAATTTGTTACGTACGACGAGTATAACGCATTCACACGTTATTCGTCTAGCCACCATAGGATATTCTGTAAACATTTTCTCACATTTAAAGGAGATCGCGAAGCTTTGAAATGGACTAAGACTTGATTTTATGATTTTGTAGCGTGGGACGTCAGGAAGTCAGCGGTATTCGACGTTCGAGAGGATGTAGCGACGGCACACGTCAGTTCTGAAATGTGCAGATATGGGGGTTGGTATTACGGAATCCACACGGCACATACAGCACACATTCGCACAGATCGGGTGACACAGACAAGAACACCGGGGTGTGGCAAAAACACACGTGTATTAAACCGAAACCGGAACCAGAAGTCGGGGGTACGAAGTCGGGTCGAGATCAATCAGGGGGGTGTACAAGAGGATTACTCTTTCCTGCCTGGGGCTCGTGGTGGCTCGTCCGCGATACCTGCAGAAAGAGAGAGACACACATAAGGTCATATGAGAGACGTGCAAGCCGATACAGTCAAGTCTCAACTGCGTTACACTTTGCTTAGTTAACTGGTGATCACCTGCAAATCAGCGGTGATCAGTGGCCTTGAAAGTTTTCTCACTCAAACAGGAAGCTATGAGCAGCATATCACAAAAACCTGCAACCTTTAGACTAACCTATCACGATTTCCACAACTTCTAAATCCCATCAGGTTTCGCAAATTTCATTTCGGTTCACTTCTAGTGGGCGGTCTGCTGAGGCTCCGTGGCCCTGGACAGTTGAGCTAATGGCCAGAGTCAAGAAAAGGTTGGTGAAGTAGAGAAGTTAGCAGTACGGGTAAACTGTAGCAGGAATCACAAAGTCACGGTGTACTGCAAAACCTGAAAACTCGTTGGTATCGCCGTTGATGCGGATTCGGGTGTAAAACTTCCTTGAAAAATTGAGTTAGTGATAACTCGCAAGACAGAGCGCGGCTTGTAATGAAAACCAATGACTCTGTAGAAGGTACAAACTGACGGTTCACTAAGATGTTTAGATCTAAGCGAAACGTTCGCCAAATCAGAATGAGCTCGTCCTGGGGTCAGCTTGGTCCAGGTAAATAATTTGTTTGTGGGTAAGTGGATAGTTGGGGGGGTGCCACCAAGCCAAGTATGACAGTGCCACAAAATCACTGCATTACCATACTCCGATTTCTAGACAACTCCGCAGCGGGTTTCATATGTGAGGTTACCTACGGGGATGCGCAATTCTGTGGTCAGCATGATTTCTGGATGGGCAAGGGTAATCCGCAGAGAAAGAAAAAAGCTAATTTAAGATCGCAGGTACTTTAGTTTTGGTTGGGGTTCCCTTTGGATGTAAAGCGCAAATAAAGTGAAATGAATGACGGTCAGGTGGATCTTCTGAAGAAAGTACTCTCGGAGGAAACCATTTTCACTCAAGATGCTAAGTTTTGAGGTCCATAGGTTTTTCTTCCCAATTATCTGAAGCCAAAGAATTCGACTCCGTTTCCCCTAGCTAGAAGGGAGGCTAGTCTGACTAAAGACTTAAGTTATTCTAGCTAAGCACTGTAAAGACGCTTTCATAGTGATTTGTTGCATTTCCATTTTTTCCTCTAGATTAAGCTACATGCAAGGCTTGTAGACACACCGCTGAGCCGCACAAGCATCGAAGATATATCAAAAATGAGTGCTACGGTTTAGAAACTTAAGAAAAACATGGAAATTATGCTGATACACCGATGTTGCATAAAAGGGATAAATAGTAACAATACTGAACCGCAAAGTCTACCGCAATTTTTGCGGTAGCTATGCAGTTTCCTTTAGTGCGTCGCTGTGACCAACACTTTGATGAACTATTTTGCACTTACAAAAATAAATGAAGGACCATTCCTCATAGGGTTATCTAGGTTCGCGTAACATTACCACACGTCGGTTAGAGTTGGTGTTACATTTCCTTAAATCTTCTGACATTGCTCTGTACTATACATCCAAATGGATGCAGAATACATTCGGTGTATCGGGAATGTGTACACTTTCTCTGCTTTCATCATTAACTTAAAACGACTATAATCAAGTCTGATCCAGTGCATATTTGCGTGAACGTTTGACTTTGACGAAGCTCCTGTAAATTTGTCTTTCTTTCCGGCAATCTAAACATTCGAGTTTCATGCATCAGCTTGCCGACAGAAACGTCAGGAGCCAAGTAGTCCTTCGGTTATGCCCTCAGTCGATTTGTGCAGGCCTTGAGGTACACCTTATCGGTTGGTCCCCTACAAAAAGCTGCCCAGCAGATTATTCCGCTGATCCACTTGCCACCCCTACAACTGGTCAGCTCGAACTTTCCATTTTGTTGAGGTAGTTGTATGCCGTCCGTTGTGTTAGCTCAAGAAGTCTGCAGGTGCCGCTGGTAAACAGTTCTGAGGTCATTTACTCTACTTTAACTGGGAGGCTATGAAGCGCCACAGGAGGCCTTGCAATACCGGAAGGTTTGCGATAATTTTTTTATTAAAGGTGCTTTTATCGAACTAGGTAATTATATGACGATGTGATTCATGCATCAATGATTGGTTACCGTTTAATACGCTGCATTTTAACTTAGCTGGAGAAGTAGGGAACCGGAAACGTCGGATGTCTTTTACTCGAGATGCGCAAGCTTACATCAACTCTGCTACAAATGTAGTAAAGTATGCTCAAGTGGGTAAAGGTTACTTACATATTTATGGACGAGCCCAATTAAATCCTCCCGCGCTCAAGGTTGCCATCGTTTTGATCAATTAGAGTCTGGACAAAACCTTCTTTCGGATTTGAACAACCTGGTTTTTTGCTGCAATTTCGGCTTCCCTCTTTTGTGAGTTCAATTCCATAGGTGTTTGGTTGGCCCTAGGCACTAGCACATCTCCTAATCCAACCAAACCTTTGCACCTGACTTCCTTACAACAGTGCAATTAGTGAGTTCAGTTAGATTAGAATGAAACCACACTTTTGGGGCAAACCGTGTCATGTTCCGCAAATTCAATTATTCCGTCTCACTTCCCCTTTTTGTTCGTTGCGACTCTGGCCATTTACCCAACCGTCCAAGGTCACTCATTGACAGGATTGGTTTTCAGTTTTAGTTCATGTCAGCTGGCTTTGTCTTTGAACTAGTCGGACCTCATGTCCATTGTTCCCTACAAGTTGAAAAATAAACGTAGTATTAGTTCTTAGGATACTGCGCGCTGTTTACGCCATTGTCCCCATTTCGCGCAATCCCCACTGCCCGCAACCCCCTCAGTCATGTTTCATTCTGACTGTAAACATATCATCATACCAGACGGTATGCCCCCCACAAGTTGGGAATAAACATTATTATTACTTCTCCCCTGGCTTTCACTGGAGCGGATCAAAAGGTGGGTATATTCATTACTGTATGGAAAATGCTGAGGCAATATTGACGTCATATATGAAAACTTTGAAAACCCGGGCTGTTTCGTCGTAAGAAAAGGCTTGCAAATGCATAAATCACAATGTATTCTAGTCAAGCTCTGAAGCACGTGAAAGTTACATGTTGAACCATAATTTGGGAAACGAACAACTAGGGCCGTAAATTGGTTATGCAAACAGAAAGATGGGTGTGGTGCATACTAAGTTTCACAGTACATGATGGATGCGTCTCTAACTGAAAGCAGGCGTCAGCCATCAAATTATCGTGCTTGTCACGCGTTCACATTCGCGTACACTTGAATTGTGTGTATCACTATAGACAGCCTGCCTTTAAATGCGGTAGTAACCCATTGTCTTGCGAACACAGAAATTTGGACCGCGGGGCCGGTTTTTTAGAGAGGAATGTGTATGCAACGCGCTACCAGAGGTATGGACTTATTTCAAATGTACGAGAGAATTTTAAGTGCAGTTTTTTCTTCTGTCCATTCTATGTACACTACAGCCATACCACGTTGTTGTGGGTATCACGGATTCAAGGTTGATACACAAGATTAAGGCTTACGATCAAGCTCCTCCTCCGTTCACCTGAAAGGCATTAGCAAAATAGTGCATTACTGCTGTTTGTGTTCCCAGCGCGATGCACCAAACCAGCCAGTGCGATAACTTGCACAAAAGCAGAATGTACCGTAATTCAGCGTAGAATTTATACTTAAATCCCTTAAGACTCGATCTCGTGGAGCGGCGGAAGCTGCGGGGCTCGATCGGGACCTCTGGAAAAGTTTAAATATGCGACATCCGTCATGAATCCTTTGCCCGTGGCCAAGGTCAAGCTGCCCATATACATGGACACGTTCACCACGGAAAAACGATTTGGGAAAAAAATTTCAAGTACTTGGTGTCCAGTTGACCTGAAAGGACCCGCCTAGGACTGCGCACCGTCACCTCGCACAACGTGCTAGCAAAGCTAGCTTGGAGCTGTCGCTCACATGGTCAGTAAACTAGCTCGGAAACCGATTTTTTCCAAGCAGAGAGAAGGTTTCTTCTATTGAGCGACCGACAAAATATCAGGTTAAATGGTTTGCCAGTGAGCGACGTTTCCCTTAGGATCATTCGATATACAATTTCTAGCCGCATCTATATCACCGACAATCAACACATCCGGGAGGCGTCGAAACAGCTCCATCTGATGCAATCTTGTGAGGCACGTGTGTCTGTAGTGGCCTTCTCACGATTATCATACCAGCCTATGTCGGGCTTCGCAAAGGTTAGTCAGGACGGAAGGCGTACAACTCAACGAAATAAATTAAACTCAACGGGGCTGGTGGACACTTTCGGCGCCCCGAGTGGAAAGGACCTTGTCAATTTAATCGTCTACAAACCGTCACACTTCACACGGCGCCATTCCGTAATTGAGCAGGGATGTGCTGTTGCTCAACTACCTTCTGGTTAGATGTTGCGTCACAGGAAGTGGGTTGTACAAAAGGTTTTCCACCTCATGATTGTGTTAAAAAATAAGAGATGACTGCCAGAAGTTTACCGTTTGCCATTATGCAAAATCGGACTGAACGACCAATGCTTTATGTACTAGTTGCCATTAGCAGATGCACTCAGCTTAATAGCCTCTTCTGATTCCTGAACATTTTGTTGTTTTTGCATGCTGCCGGCTATATTCATAGTATACAAGTTCAGTGCCCTTCAACCATTGGACGAACAAATACCAAAAAATTATCTCTCGTGAATTTGTTTACCGCCTCCTCAAATACAGTGAACAATGAAAACCTGATAGCCATCAATTTTCCAACAAATATTCCTGAGGCTCATCTCACAACTTGCACTGGTCAGAGACCTCTGTATTCGGCTAACAATTGTCAAGGCGACACTAAAGCAGCCACATAATAATGCGTAGTGCTCCATCCGAAGGCCGCACACTTCAGCGCTCGGGAGATTTTACGTATTCCTTTCGGTCAGTTTCATTTGACTGCTCGCCCTCTACATGGAATCCTGTTCCGTTTGGCACGACAGACCGCTGGAACAGTCAAGTTTCCGTCAAACTTGTGTATGCAAATGCGAAGTTGTGGGATTGTGCCGATGCAAATGCACTGCGTTTTGAGTGTACTCTCACTTGCTGTCGTGGACAGAATAAGCCGTTCTGTTCCCACACCATTGCAGAACAAGTAGGCTGATGTGACAGATAAAATATCGACTACTGGCCGGCACTCAATGTTCACTGACTTAGCAGAATTTGTGGACACGCGCTTCAAGATAACACAGTTGTCTTGGGTTCCTAGCTCGATAAGAGGACTTATGACTCCCAACTGTGCCGTTGATATCGACCAACGAAGCCCATATACGGGATGGTTTCACGAATTTTCTTGACCAACATAAGGCCAGTCACACATCGTGGTCCAAGAATCTGCTCAGTTTGTTCACATCTTCATCAAACTTCTGCTTTCAGCGCGTGATCGTATCGTTACCACATAAACGTGGTAGGCAACGACACGACGGAGTAGCTGCCACAACCAACGTGGAACAAAAAAACGAGGACGATGGGCATGGGATACAACTAGTTGGAAGCCGTGCACCTCAAAAAAACTAAGACAGTTGCCAATCCTGAATGACCTTGAGCGGTCTAGTAAATCGCTAGAGTCACTGAAAGCAAAAATGGAGATAGATACTGCAAGATACCATCTCGAGACAAATGACAACTTTTGCCCCAAAAACACGGTCTAAAGTGAAACTACGTGGAATTACTGGTGTCACTGTTGTAGGTAAGTTGGCTGTAAAGGATAGTCCTGATGGTGATATAGTTACAATGCATAGGGCTAAACAAACACCGTAAATGAAATTGAACTTGTTAAAGAGGCAAACCGATAGTGCGACAGGAAACCAGGTTGGTTGGAAGTTTTTAATAGGTGAAGGTGCATAAAGGAGCATAATGCGTGCACTCCGCTTTGAAGGCCACCAAATGGCTAGAGATTGCAAGTCAGTTGTTCTCTACGGGCAGTCGGGTTACATAACTGACATCACCGGCTGTTGCATGCAACGAAACCGAAAACGAAGCATAATGCAGCTTCAAAATCAGGAGGGTTTGACTCACCTCAAAAGAGTCAGCTTCCAATGCGCATTGGAATTTGTGAGAATTGAGTTTCGTACGTATATCGGTACAACCCGAAAAACTGGAAATCCAGAATTCAGCGAAGCGTAACAACCAGCACGTATGTATTCGAATTGGCGAATATGTAGAGCATGTGGAATATTAACACAAGGGAATAATGAATAGAGCAACGAATAAAATAACATTCATGTTCATCACATCCGCCACACCTTGAATGAGCGTGTGGATGTT